GAGAGAGAGAGAGAGAGAGAGAGAGAGAGAGAGAGAGAGAGAGAGAGAGAGAGAGAGAGAGAGAGAGAGAGTTTGCGTGGGTCTGTTGCCTCCACCTTAATGCATGACCTGTCGTATTTGCTTTTACGAGTGAAGCTGTGACAGGTCATCTAGTCCTTACAATTCTGGTTGCTGCATCAAATGGCGCGCGGCGTAGACAGATGTCACAGGCAACGTGGCTCTCACATGCTAGGAGCATATAGGCACGGCGACCGCAATAGCATAGGCCCTGCTGTCTCAGACTGTCTTCAAATAGGACATGCCATATCATGGTGTTCGTACATGATTACAATGATGATTGTCATATATGTGTGAAAACAGAAACTTGCATGGGCTATATACCCTCATCATCCCTCATGACACAAAGAATGTCGATCGCATGCTAGCTGAACATTAGGCGGGTCATCACAGTGCAGCATTGAGGAAGTTTCTTCGGGTTCTGCGCCCAACATTGCCTGTCTATGCACGGGCGATGACGGCATAGACAGGCAATGACGGTGTGTGATCCAGATTAAGGGTGTTTAGCTGTTGCAAGATCTGGTCTCGAACTGCTCACCGTGGCAACGATGACCTTTCAGCACGGGTCACTGCTGGAAGCTCATGTGAGAGTTTGTTCTCTACCTCCAGTGGCTGTGTCCCTTCCGCGTCTGCCAACCATGGAGAAGGTTCCGTTATGGGTGCAGCCTCCAGAGGATGTGCAGCGTTACATGTGGGACATGAACGGAGAGGATGTGGCAGGTGATCGCATCGGGGATAGTCCGCACAGTAGAGACATGCTCTCGAGTCTCCACGACCGAATCCCGAAAACTTGGGGCACACATGGCATGTTGCCGACATGCCAGCAGGAGTGCGTGTGCTTTCGCACCAGACGCGGCCAGATCACTTCCTATTACAAATGAAAGGCGAAGTTGGCAAACTGCTTTTGTTTCTTTTAATTCAATCTTCGATCGTCCTTGAATTTTAATTTGACCAAGGCTTGTTCCCATACCTAGAAGGAATGAATCCCCTTTTTTCATGTTGCTTTGACACTCTTCAGTTGACGAATCGAATTCGAAATCACAATTGCTTATTCTGCTAATGCACTGGCACTTGTACTGGCTTTTGTTGACGTATGTGCAGCAACGAGAGATGAGGAGGATAAAGAGGGACCGAGAAGAGAGGGAAATGTATGTCGTCTTCTCCTGTCCTTGTTTTTGTTTTTGTTTTTGTTTTTGTTTTTGTTTTTGTTTTTGTTTCTGGTTGTTTGCTTTTCTGGGGTGGTGTTGATTCATGCTGTGCTTCTGTGTGTCTTCTTTGGTGGCTTGGATTTTCTGAGTTATGTATTCCATACTATCCATAGTGAAATTACAGGATTTGGAATGTTGTAGTTGTGTATATACTATATACAGTTTGTCACAGCCTCTCGTCTGTTGTCCTCTTCTCCCTCTCTGCCTACCGTTTGCCGGGCAGCTCTGTTTCACTATATATACAATATAGTAGTACATTAGTCTATAGTACATATGTTTCGTGATACACCCATAACTGTTGAAATACAGACTCAGTTGCTACACCCACGAACTGTTGAAATACAGACTCAAGTTGGAATCCCGATACAATCAGATGCCCAGAATAACATAAATTCTGAATTACCTGGGGCCTGCCAGCTTCAATGATGATATCTCAAGGCAGACACCCTTTTATTAAGCAAAAAAGAAGAAAAAACATACTTTTCTTGATGGCAGTGATGGACAGTACTGTCTCTCTTAATCCTTGCCAGTGGGACCTTCCCCCAGATCATGTTCATGGTGAGCTGGTGGGCTTAGCTTTAACAAAGTGTGGCAGTATTACCACTGTGGGAGGACCGTGGGACCACATCGGGACCACAATGGCACCACAGTAGGACCACGATGGAACCATGATGGAACCATCCACCTGGTTTTGTGTATATCATCCTGCTAACTCCATGGTACACACATGTTAGTCTGCTTGTAGATATCTACCGTCTTCGCCCGAATAGAACACCCGGTAATTATAGCTGTATTTTTGGCACAACTTTCAGCCCAGATACGGCGATAATTACGGGGCGTTCTATTCGGGTGAAGACGGTAGTGCGGGCTGATTTGTCGGTTATATTGTGGATGTTTTTTGGATAGCATGCCTCGAAAGTCGTACACTCAATCAATGGTGTACTTCGACTTATTCGTCTCCTCCTGATATGGCACACAGACGTCTAGAAGTTTCGTTGATGGTTCTGAAGAATCTGGACTCGATGGTATTGAGTTTTGTTCGTCTGTGGATATGGCACGGGCTTATTAGTTTTATTCATCTGTGGATACGGCACATGCAGCTGCAAGTTTGGTTTATGGATCGAAAGATTCGAAACTTAATGGCCCCCTCTTAGTGTTGTTCTTCTGTTGAAATGGCTCAGGCATCTAATTTCTTCTGTTGTCATATGGCCCAGGAATCTACATGTTTGCTATGGGCCTAAGCTCCATGGTACTTGGTTTTATTCGTTTGTGGAATATGTAGTGTGTACTTAGCTTTTATTCTTTTGTTGAATATAGCACAGACATGTACACGCACGTGATGTTGATATAGCACAGATATATAGAAGCGTGTGATGATGTTTAGACTCGATCGTACTTAAGTTTTATTCCACTCTGATGGTACTCCACTGCGAATATGGTACAGGGTCTCTCTACAGACACAACACGCGTTTCTTTTTGGACTTGATGGTACTCCGATATAGCACGGACATATAGAAGCGTGTGATGTTTAGACTCGATGGTACTTAGGTTTTATTGCGCTGCAAATATGTTACATGGTCGACAGACATTCAGCAGTATATGGCACAGAAATGCAGTGCGACTATGGTACCGACATGTGCAAATGCGCTATGTTTGGATACTGCTTGGATAGCATTTCGATTCTTGTATTAGCGCAACAACGCAGTTCTATTGCACTGCTGCTACAGACATCTATGAATGAATGTGTGAACAGCTGTGTGGCGCTGTGCTATTATCAGCAAGGAGAACCGACGAAAGCCGAACCACAAAGATGATATGCTGATGTAGATTCAAAAAGAAGGGGAAAAAAAACACACACAAAAAAAGCTCTCTAGCCCATGCAATTCCATAACCAAAAATTAATAGGTGGTGTGATTTTCGGCGAATTTTTCACTGAAACTGCCATATTTCTCTGAGTTTTTTATTTTTTTCTTGTTTCTTTTTTTGTGTGATATCTATATGCTTTAGGGTATATCTGTATTCAGTTTCAACGTATTTGGGCCAGTAACAAAAAAGTTGGTAAAAACACCGAATTTGGAGAATAATTTGGCGAACTCCGAAAGCTACTCCGAATAGGTTTTATAGTGTTTTTTTTTTTTTTTTTTTTTTTTTTTTTTTTTTTTTTTTTTTTTTTTTTTTTTTTTTTTTTGTGCTGGGACCTTCCCTGGTCGTTGCACGGCCGGCCCGCTCGGGCAAACAAGGTGACCTGGGCGGCCTGGCTGGTAGCTTAGATACTAGATAGTAATATAATGATAATATTATTACTGTTGTTTGCACTCTTTGTTCCCACATGCAGTCTCCTTCTCTCTTTTTTTCACTCCTTGACATCCTTGTTGATGTTCCTTGACTTCTCCGTTCTCCTCTCTCTGCTCCATCTCCTCCTTTCTCCCATTTCTCCTCTCTCCTCTCCGTCTTCTCCTTCCTCTCCTCCTCCCCATCGTCCTTCCCTCTCACCTCCCTCCCTTCTCCTTCCTCCCTTTTAACCACTTCTATTCCCTCGCTCCTCTCTGGTTCTTTTCGGTTCTCTGTCCTTCCGTACAGCTCTTCCTACTACTAGACTACTGTCTTCACCTGAGTACAACGCCTGGTCATTATTACTGTATCTAGATTGGAAGTTCAGCCAAATGCAGATATAATGACCGGGCGCGTTCTATTTGGGTGAAGACGGTAGTTATCATCACATGAGCTGTTCTCTTCACCCGTGTTGTCTCCCTGCTCCTCCTCCCTCCTCACCTCATCACATGAGCTGTTCTCGTTCCCAGTGTCATCTCCCTGCTCCTCCTCCTCCTTCCTCCCTTCTGTTCCTCCTCCTCCTCTTCCTATGGCTTTCTTGTCACTTCCTTGTTTCCGCCGTGCTTTCTGATCCAAGACTACCCCCCTTACTTCTCCTCAATTCTCTCTGGTTTCCACCGTCTCTTTCTCTCCATGGTAGTCGTCATCCGTGCTCTCGTCCTCCTTATCCTCGTCTCCATCCTCTGCATAATTTTCCAACTATCTTTGCTGTCACAATGATCACCATTGCTAGAGTTCATTCCTGTTTTTGCATTCCTTCTTTTTGAGGGATCGGTTTGTCGGAAGTCAGCGACCTGTTTCCCGTCCCAACATCGCCAAATGTGCAGGGAACCTGCCCTGTGGATTTTCACTTTCAAAGTCGTGACCTGGCTGATGAAATGGTTGTCATGTTTTGTGTTCGGAGAGGTGCGAGGTCCACCGCATCTGTATATTTGAGCATGGAATGTGTATGCGTCCGTCCGCTGTCCAGCTTATCTTATGTTTTGTCCAGCTTATCTTATGTTCTTAACTTCTTAGTGATCCTTATCTGTGAGCATGTAGTTGGTCTGCACGAGGGCATGTATAACCTCTGTCGAATGGCCTCCTGTGCCAGTCCTTAGAAGTCAGCTCTGCCGACGAGTATGGAGGACCCTACGAGTTCTTTGTTTACGGGGAACGATGAGTCGACGGAGGAGAGGAAGAGAGGAAAGACAGGCCTCATCGGTCCTCGATACTCGCCAGCAGAGCAGACTGCTAGAGACCAGCACGAGAGGCTAGTCAGGGGTCGGGTTGCAGACAGGAATGAGCTGAGGAGCAGGTGCTGCCTGTAGTGAGGTGCTGTAGAGCGAAGACGTGTCGAAGTCAAAGCTCCAGCACAAGCAAAAATGGTTGAAAAGTCTACTACGGCCTGCATTGTCGTGCAATCTTGAGCTTTTAAGATCCGGCGGCAATCCGGGTCGTCCGCGGTCCTACCGGGCCACAGCCAGGATCGATGCGCGATCTTAAGATTCTAAGATCGCTCAACGATCTCGGCCGTCGGCCTGGTACCGGTTGGTCCAGATTAGAAGTTAGCAGCTCAAAGAAAGTTAGGGCTGCCAGGCCTGGGGAAAAAACGGTCCCATGCGGGCAGGTCCCCTATTGGGCACAGCGTTCGGCCATTTACGCGCATATCTTTGGCGGGACATAGCTTTTTTTCTTTTGTATAGTGGGTAAGGCAACGTGCACTCACACGGATGCGAACGAGACAACACGCACTCACACAGACGCCCGCCTGCGCAGGCACACACACATGCAAGCACGCAGGCAAATGCATTCTGAGCAGACTGTCTGGGTTCAACCTCCTGATGAGTTGGTGAAAGTCCAACGAAACAGTCTGGCACAGTCATGCTTTTTTATTGGAGTTCACATAAACACGAAGATTGCACGCATGTGTGTGCATGAGAGAGAGAGAGAGAGAGAGAGAGAGAGAGAGAGAGAGAGAGAGAGAGAGAGAGAGNTTTTTTTGTTCCTGTTTGATTTTTTGATGTTTGTATTATGATCCTGCATTGTTTGTTCGCGAAATGTTTGAGGACATTGTTTGTGGTGATGCGGCGAAAAACCCTGAATTTTGGGCCTTCCATTAACCATCTCTCTTGGAATGTTGGCGCACTTGGGAGTGATGTGGGGACCACTTGCGCGGCCGCTGAACACAGTAGTCAACGAATGAATATTCTTTCAGATGATATTGGGCCCCACCCCAACACTCGCCAAATGCCGGATGATATTGGGCCCCGCCCCAGCACTCGCCAAATGCCGACATTTCAAATGCATTCAGAATGCATCTGACCCTGGCAAGTGTCACTGATGCATTTGAAATGTCGGCATGTGGCGAGGCCCATTGTTTGGGTAATACTTGGACAATACTGTCTGGATCTAGGGTAATGGAGTCGTCTAGCCCGGGTCACCCGTCCTCTGCTGTGGGGGGGGGGGGGGGGGTGCAGCAGGGGAGCAGACCTGCTTCGTGTAACCGGGCGACACCAAAAGGGGGCGCAATTTGTTTTCGTCTTTTTTTTGGCAGTGGGCCAAATTTGCCCCCACTGAGATGTGTGCCCAAATCTGGCCTTACCTTTGCATTTGGCGATGTCTTACCAAAGGGTGTCTATACTATATGGGGTATAAGTGGGGTGCAAAGGGGCTTGAGCGGGCTTAAATGGGTGTGTGATATAATTTAATGTTTTTTGTTTTCTTTTTTTTCCAACGTTCATGACGAATTTCTGGGTGACCCTCACCCAAAACTTGTTTGCTAAGCCATTCTGCATACTTTTTGTGTTTGTTTTTTTTTGGCGCTGGGGCTTTCTGGGACCTTTGGCCAGGATTTTGCTGGGACACGGCCCGGCCGTGCCACTCGGGCCAGTCTGAGGCAACCTGTGCAGCCCGTCTGGTAGCCTGGGTGACCCTCACCCAAAAGTTGTTTGCTAAGCCAAAATAATTTTGAACCTCGTTGTTCTTGGCTTTCATGCTGTCTTCCCCCCCCCTGAAAACAACTTGGGCTTGTGTGCTTTTGAAAATTGACCAGGGCTGCCAAGAGCAAGGAGGAGCTTGAAAAGATACGTAACATGACGGAAGAAGAGCGGCGGGAGTACGAGAGGCGGAATCCGAAGCAGTCGTCAGCCCCGAAGAAGAAATGGAAGTTCATGCAGAAGTACTATCACAAAGGCGCCTTCTTCCAGGCGCCGACCGATGACAAGTTTGGCACAGCTGGTACTGACGACATTTTCCATCGCGACTTCTCGTCCCCCACCGGCGAGGATAAAATGGACAAGACGATTCTTCCCCGGGTCATGCAGGTCAAGCACTTTGGTCGCAGTGGCCGCACGAAGTGGACGCATCTGGTCGCCGAGGACACGACGCAATGGGATAACCCGTAAGTCTTCCGCAACACATTCATTTACTGGTGCTATGGATTGAAATGGATTGAACTTTGCGGCTTCGCTTCTCCCTATCATAAATTTTGTTTCTAAGCTCTCCCTACCTGCTTCCTCGTGCCTCCCCAAGTTTTTATGTGCCTTGCACTGGATGGAGTGCCCTGGCAGCAATTAGCTCGATCGGACTGCATAAGACGATACGCAAGTAAAGACTAGAAGGCTAGGCTAGGCTACTTGGCTTGCCCGGGCAAGTCGCCCGCGGGTCACCACCACCTGCACGGGGCACCTGGTGCAGGCAAAAGTCCAGGCCTGCTTTTTTTTCTTTTTTTTTTCGGTTTGGGGTGGAGGTTTTCCGCGCATGGCCAGAGCAGGCCAAATCCGGGCTCGTTTCTTTTCTGCTACAGTAGTGTTGGCTGCCAAGGGGGAGGGAGGGCGCGGGGGGGGGGGGGGGGGGGGGGTATAAATTGTTTTTTGAGGGGTTACATGGGGTTTAAACTTTAAATGGGGGTGCCTTAGTCTGATTCTGTTTGTTTTCTTTTTTATCTTCGATCCTGTGAGGAATTCTGATGTGACCCTCAGCCAAAAGTCGTTTGTAGTAACTTCGTTCTGCAATTCTATACTTCTTTTTTTTATCTCTGGAATTTTTTATTTTATTTTTTTTTTTGCGCTGTGGCCTGCTTGGACCCTGCGTGGGGGTCATGACTGGCGTGGCACTCGGGTGTGCCCTGGCGCCTGGAAAAACACCCTAGATGCTAAGGCTGTTTTTCGGGGCGCCCGGGCACCCAAGTTGTGCCAGGATACACACCCGGGTAGCCGGCCATGCTCTGACCCATGGACAGGGTTCTGGGCAGCCCCGGCACAATAAAATGAAATAAAATAAAATAAAATAAAATAAAATAATCAAATAAATAAAATATAAATATTATAATTATAAAATAAAATCAAAATAAAAAATTTCGGAAAAGAAATATGTTGTGTAGAACTGCAATGCAAACGACTTTTGGCCGAGGGTCAAATTGGAACTCCTCACGGAATCGAAGATAAAAAAAAGAAAATAAACGTAATCAGACTAAGGCACCCTTGCCTTAAAGAACTTTGAAACAATTTTATACCCCCCCCTCTCCTTCCCTTCCCCCTCCCTTGACAGCCAACACTGGAAAAAGGAAAAGGGCCCGGATTTGTGCTCCTCTGGGGATGTGCGGAAAACCCCCTACCACCACCAAAAAAAAAAAGGAAGATCCGAACTTATTACCATGCCCGGGTACCCCGGGCGGCATGAATGGCTGTCCGGCTGCTGGGCAAGAAAAAAAGCCTAGATAGAATGGGCATTTATTCAAAAGAAAACAAAAAAAAAGTTAAAAAAACAGGAAAAAAAACTTGTTAAAAAGGTCATTTATTCTAGCCTCAGAAGATGCATAACATACCAGCTTCGTGAACCTTTGTGACCTTCTGTTGCGGGTTCACTGAACCGCCAGCAGGTTCAATGAACCAGCAACAGGTCCACTGAACCAGCAGCAGGTTCACTGAATCAGCAACAGGTTCACTGAACCAGCAACAGTTTCACTGAGAGTGTCTTTGAACCTGCAACAGCTTTCCCGGGCCATTGTGAACCTTCGTTGCAGGTTCGCTGAACCTTCAACAGATTCACTGAACCTGTGTGAATCTCTGTTGCATCATACCTCTTTTGCAAGCTGCAACAGCGTTTCACAAAGGTTCATTGAATCTGTTGCGCACCACCCCCTCTGTTTTTTTTTTTTTTTTTTTTTTTTTTTTTTTTTTTTTTGTGTGTGTGTGTGTGTGTGTGTGTGTGCATCTGATGCTGACAGTTTCAGAGACGGAGAATCTAGAAACTGAATTCTCACACTGATACCAAAAAACAATTGTGGGCAACTGACTGTGTGGGGTGGGTGATGGGGGAGGAGGGTCAGATCCCGACTCCTGAGGGAGTGGAGTTGAGATTCTTGAGAGCTGAAATTCAGCAGCAACTGACTGTGTGTGTGCGTGCGCTCCTCGTTTTGCGGGTGCGTGTAACAGGTGGACTTATAATGATCCGCTGCGGGTCAAGTACAACAACAAAATGGCAGGAATGAACCGACCGATTGCGAAGCCAGCAGGGAACAAGAAACTGAAGGAATGGGGCGACGATAGCGTCGAGACTTGAGGGGACCAAGTTATGGAGCGCTGGCCTGCCCCCGGAACGGTTCCTGTGTACAGCCCCTTCTCCAACTTCACTTTGTGCTATGTGAAAAAATTCAAAGTACGTCATTGCCTTTGCATTTGAAAAAGTGGTTTGCAGCTGCTGTTGTCGTGTCATTGCTGCTGTTTTTGTGGTTTCCAGCTTCTTGCACATTCTTTTCTCATTTGCCCTTTGTTTCCCTTTGTTTCCTCCCTCCCACAAGTTTCACATCGAAATGCGCCACTGGGATCTCGTCGGTATCACCTCTAGGCTTTAGTGTTTTGTAATTGTTTACGTAAGAAAAGTACCACCCGTGGGATCTCGCCGGTATCACTTCGAGGCTTTAGTGTCGTACGTGGTCCCGCAACGACCAAAAGTGCATCTCTTGTACTCGATTGTACCTGTTTGGTTGGCTGCCCTTCGCTGCAGCGGCACTTCGTTCCGCCAACAGAAACGACACTGCCCCTTTTTTACGCCAGTCCGTCCTTTCGGATCGTCTTCCCCTCTCCTCGTCTCTTCCTCCCCCCATCCCGTGCGTTTGCCTCAATTGTCCACCAACCCCTTGCCATATTTTCTCGATCTTCCAAGTCGGTGCCATTCCTGTGTCCTCCTCTGTTCCCCACTTCCACCCACATCTAGATGTGTATAAGAGACAGGTGGGCCCTT